AACGTGCTGCACTGGCAGTCGGCTTGCATTCTTGCTAGCATCTGATGTAGTCCATTGTTGCTTTGGATTGTGTACCATTGTTGTAAATTTTTGCTAGTGAAACTCTTACCAATTCAACCCGTGAATGTGCAAGTAGTGTGAACACGAGCAAACGCTAAAGAACACAGAGATCACCCCAAAACTCCGTGCCTTTCCCGTAGTCAAGCTCCCGCTGTGTTAGTTATCTCCGCATGGTGCAGTTATCGTGGATGGCACCGCAACAATACCTTCAGTTCAGCGCTGTGCTAGTCACCATGGTATGCCCCGTAGGTGACGCGGACGTAGTGGATACCTTGGAGACACGGCTGTCTGATGCGAGAAAACGCCACGTCGAGGGCGAGTATGGGGAGACCCTCCCCTTGGAGGTCGTGGAGTTAGGCATCCACCCAAAGTGGGTGATGGAACATACCTCTCGGCCTGCCTCTCCTCGATCGGTGAACAATGAAGGCGGCGTCGACATAGGCGTCAATGCTGGCGACCAAGTCGGCAGTAGTGCGGGAGGCATGTCAAGGCAGAGAGGTGTGTTCCAGGCGGCCGACAGTGAAGTCGGCGGCGTTCAGGCGTGAGGGCTGCAGTCGTCGGTGGTTTCGGGCTCCTCGCAAGGCTTCGTCAGTGGACGTCAAAGCGGTGTGACGCCGACATCGGCGACCCACATGACTGCAAGAGGGATCGCACCGACCTACGGGTACTTCAAGTTCATGCCAGACAAGATCCCCGACACGGTGCTGCTGGTCGGTTGTCACGATCTTCTCACGTGGAAGGAATCCATCGATTCCTAGCTGGAGATCACTGGGCTGGTGTGCTTCGCTGACGGCACCGTGGAGACGCCGCCTGAGAGCAACGCTGAGCTGCGTGCGGAGTTCCGCGTCGTGCAGCTGCTGACCTTCACGATCATCTTGCGGTGTTGCTCACCGGTGGTGCAGATCGCCTTGAAGTCGTGCCGGCGTCATCTGGACGCTGGCCACCGGGCATGGCAGTTCGTTACGTCGACGTACCAGGTCACCGACGACCTGTACATCGACCAGCTGGAGGAGCAGATTTCGCCCCCACGGATGGGCGAGCAGGAGACGGCGACCGACTACTGCAACCGAGCTTGGCGTCTTTTTGCCTGCATGCAGGTGACCGCCATCGAGTACTCGACAGCATCGTACATCACGAACATCATCAATGGGCTCCCGAGCAGCTACAACCTGATGAAACAACTGATGGTGGTGTCGGGCACGCAGGAGTCGCTCAATAAGGACTCGCTGACCTCGTATAGCCTAAAGCCCACGGAGCTCCTGTCGCAGGCGAACAACGTTGCCCCGATGAAACGCGGCAAGCTTGGGGCGGTGGTAGCGGAGGTGGAAAGCCGGCCAAGGACACTAACAAGGCGAAGTCGGCTGAGGATGGCGGTCGTGGAGGAGAAAGTCGGTGTTGGGAGTGTTGGCTGTGCGGCGACCCCTCCACCTCTCCTCCGAAAGCCACGATTGAACCGGCTCCGACGACGATGACAGCAAGTGAGGCCGAGGGAGGTCGGCTTGTTGTCGCTCATCTCGGAAGAGCAAGCCGCACAAGGAGAAGCAGTCGACCAAGGACGCCGATTCCTCCTCTAGCGGCAAGGGCCGAGGTGATGAGGATGTGTCGTGCTCGCTGGGCTATGTTGTGGAGCCAACCGTCTTGCTGGCGCCAAAGGCCAGCGATGACTTCCAGGCAGTGGCAGCAGCTGTGCAAGCAAACCCGGCGGTGGTCCTGCTTGACAGCGGTTGCTCGCACCACCTGATGGGGACCAAGGCGGCCTTCGTTGACTTCAAGCCAAGTAGAGACGTCAGATACGTGTGCAGCTTCAATGGGGCGCTGCAGGACTTCCAAGGCAGAGGCACGGTCACCCTGCAAGGAGAATCCGAGAAGTAGGTGCTCATCCCTGACTTGCTCTACGTCCCGGGCGTGCATGCAAACCTGCTATCCGTTGGCCGGTTGAACGAGAGTAGCATGAAGCTGCAGGATAATGGTAACAAGATGCTCCTCGTCTCGGCAGGGAGGGACGTTCTTGGTCAAGCGGCGTACAACGGCCGGGTCCTCTTCAGCCACCTTCGTCCCTACTCAGCGAAGTCGATGCCGGCCACGACGGAGGTGGTGGCCCTTCGGGCGATCGTCTCGACAACGACGTCGACGCCGGCCAGGTGGCACGCGAGGCTTGCTCACGTCGGCGTTGACACCATCACGAGCTCGGCGAAGCATAAGGTTGCCACCGGCTTGGACATCAAGCCGTCGGGCGGCACCGACGTTCTGTGTGTCTCGTGCGTCGGCAGAAAGCTCGCACGACACACCTTCCCCGACAAAAGCCCGACGACGCCCTAGCTGTCGTGCACATCGCCCTGTGCGGATCGTTTTGGGTGGCTGCTAAGGACGGGAGCCTATACTTCTTGGTGTTGAAGGACAGCAAGACCCGCCACGTATAGGTGAGACCGGTCGCCAAGAAGTCCAACGTGTTGCGGGAGTTCGAGAAGTGGCTAGTGGTGGCTGAGCGGCAGACGAAGAAGTCGGTTCTGATGTTGCAATCTGACTTGGGAGGGGAGTTCCTCGGGAAGGAGTTCACCGACTTCGTGGACAGCAAGGGAATCATCCATCCTTGACCTGCCCCTACATACCGCAACAAAACGGCATGGCGGAGCGGGAGATGCAGACGGTCGTGGAGTCGGCGCGGACGATGCTGCTGCATGTGGGCGTGCATCACCACTGGTGGCACCACTCAACGCATCAGGCCGTCTGGGTGCGCAAGTGCCTGGAGAGGTCGACGCTGTTGCCGGAGATGAATCTGTACCAGCTGCTGACCGGCAAGAAGCCCAACTTGACGCTGGCCCGTGTATGAAACTCCATAACGCAGTTCTTGGTCGCCGAGCCGTAGCGCGGTGGAAAGCTGAAGCCGAAGGCCACGTAGGGCCTTCACCTTAGTGTATCGAAGGAGAGCAAGGGCTGGGATCTACTCGACCTCACCAATAATATGGTGGTCACAACGTCGAACGTGGTGTTCCACTTGTAGTATTATTTAAAACCGAACAGCAATAGTTGTTGCATATATAACCTGTCAGAATCCCAACCACTGTCTAAAGGGATAAAGGCGATTTTTTTAAGTAGCGGGTCAGTGCGCACGTAACCCCCCAGGACAACGAGCTTGTAACCCTTCCCTAGGATCAATCGGGGATCGCCAATGGACCTCTAACACCCCCCCACACTGGGATGCCCGAAGTGCACATACTGGGATTCGAACCCGTGACCTTCGCTCTAATACCATGTCAGAATCCCAACCACTAGACCATTGGGATAAAAGGGCCTTTTTAAGAAGCGAGTCAGTGCGCCCATAACCCCCCAGGACAACGAGCCTTTAACCCTTCCCTAGGATCAATCAGGGATCACCAGTGGGCCTCTAACCTAACCGTCTATGTCACATGCCATCACGTGAGCATTGAGCAAGTCCCAAGGGCATCTGTGCAGATGTTGTTGCCAAGATTGCCCAAATCAGATGCGCCAGTTGCCACGAATGTTGAGTTGTGAACGTGGTAGGCCCCCTCCCGCCCCCTCCTGCCCTACCAGGCCCCGACGCGCATGGAGGGCAGGACCCGGGGCAAGGCGACACACAGCACATAGAGGACACATGGTGCAGCATTAGTAGCCGCGGTGGGGAGTGCCTCTTCAACTAGTACACTGCCACGGCGGGCAAGGAGGAGCGGCATGCTGTGATGTGGAAGCCGGACCTGCCTGCATGCAAGAGGCGAGTGATGCCGGGTCGTGTGCGGCGCTGGTCACACGATACAAACAAACTCTATTAGCTCGCATTACCAGCTGGTTGAGTTAATAACACCAGGAGCTAAGGCATGCGGTAGTGAAGGCGCTTCGGCGGAAGTGGAGGCGCTGAATGAAGAGTGCCTCTTCAACTGGTCCATGGTCACGGCTGGCAAGGAGGAGCGGCGTGCTGTGATGTGGAAGCCAGACCTGCCTGACGTGTAGGAGGCGAGTGACGCCGGGTCTAATGCGGTGCTGGTCACACGACACAAACAGACTTTATCAGCTCATATTACATGCTGGCTGAGTTAACAGCAACATGAGCTTAGGCAGGTGGTAATGCAGGCGTTTTGGCAGAGGGTGGAGGTGCTGAATTGAGAGTGCCTCTTCAAATGGTCCACGGTCACGGCTGGCAAGGAGTGGCACGCCGTCACGTGGAAGTCGGACATGCCTGACGTGCTCAGAGGCAAGTGACGTCGGGTCGTTTACGGCGCCCATCACATGGCACAAAAGGACGCTGTCTGCTCAGATCATTAGCTGGTTGAGTTGCCGGTAAGAGCAAACGATAACACATTTTACTTGGGAGCACATAAATGCAGGATATGATGCATGCTGTAGGTTCTATATGCATACCGTATGTTGTAATGAGAGCCAGTTGTAACGGGTTTCTATGCGGCTTAGAACACCCCATGCGTTGTCTGCTCCAATCATAAGATGAATAGTTCAGGGCTGTAGATAAGGATATGGGGATATGGTAAGCGTGATAAGACAATTTTGGTTTTGTAGCATGTCTTTATCTGGAGTTATAACTGGAAACAAAATTTGATGCAGATGCTGATTATTTTACAGTGGATCCGTAAAACCCTGTGCCATGCGGCACACCCGCATTGGTGTTTCCGCCGCCGCTGATTGGCCAGCGTCACTACTGTCGGCAACATCGAAGTAGAGCGTAGGTACAGTACGACATCAGCTTGCCTTCGGCCAGCATCAGAATCAGCACTCCGTTTTAGTGCTGATTATTAGTCGGGACGTGACTGCACCGATCCCATTATTAGTCGCCCAGGAGCCTCCCGCACGAATCAGCTGCGTGCGATCCGCGCTTACTCGAGAACTGCTGGGCTTCCGCGCGTTCCGCGTCCGGCGTTCCGCTTCCGCCCGTTCCGCTTCCGCGGCGACGCAGCGCGATCGTAGTGCCAGCCATGGCGGGCCTCCTCGCGCAGCCTGCGCGCGTAACGCGGGTGGCCGTCCCCGCGTCCTCTCCGCTAGCATCCCCCGCCTTCATTTCCCCTAGTCGCTTTTCTGCAGCCGCTCACGGCCGGATAGCGGCGCGGCAGCGCAAGTCGCTGGCCGTTAGAGGTACGGATTTGAGCGAACGGATCCGTGACCGTTGTGCGGCTTAGCGCGTTGCGCGCGGATGGTTAGGCGCTCGAGGGATGTGCGCTGTGAGCTTGGACGAGAGTATGGCAGGAATAGAAGTGAACGGCTGTTCATCCGCTTCGGTCGCTTCTTTTCGCCGTGTTTGTCACTGTTTTCGTCTTTCCTTCCGCCTCCTCCCTGCCTTATACCGGCCTCGATCTCCCTTGTGTTCTTGGTTGTTTGCCCCGCCTGATTGGCTGAGAGACAGCAGCAGCGGCGGGCGATTCGAGTGGCGACGGCGACAATGTGGTAACCCTGCTGGACTACGGCGCGGGAAACGTGCGAAGCGTGCGAAACGCCATTCGCCTGTTGGGTTACGAGATCAACGAAGTGAGTGGCGAGGGTGGAATATCCTTACGTGCAGAGGGTTTTACTCTTGGGGTCTTGTGTTTTTGCGAGTGGGATGACGGCCGTACGGTGGGCCCAAAATCACTCATTCCGGCAGCTCTGACCGACTAAACCGACCGTCTCATTCCCGCGCATGATCCCTCACCTCCCCCATACCTCCGCCTCCCCTCACCCACCCATTCTCCCGCTTTTTCCCCGGCCTACCTTCCCCGCCTCCCCCCGCGAATCCCCCCTCTCCCCCCCAGCCGAACGAGCCGGAATATATCTTAGTGACAAGGAAGCTCAGCTTTTCCTACCTCCTTCCCTCACCTTCTCCGCCTTCCTACCCCCTCCCCTCCACCAGGTGAGCGAGCCAGAGGACATCCTGGCAGCCAAGAAGCTCATCTTCCCGGGCGTGGGCGCGTTCAGGGCGGCCATGGACGTGCTGAACGAGAGAGGGTAAGGGGTGATGGGTCTCTTACAGGGTAAGGCGTGATGGGTCTCTTACAGGGTAAGGGGTGATGGGTCTCTGGGTGATGGGTCTCTTAAAGGGTAAGGGGTGATGGGTCTCTTACAGGGTAAGGGGTGATGGGTCTCTTACAGGGGAAGGGGTGATGGGTCTCTTACAGGGTAAGGGGTGATGGGTCTCTTACAGGTTACTTCAGCCATGCATGAAGGGGAAACTGGGCAGGCGTGGGCGCGTTCAGGGCCGCCGTGGAAGTGCTCAGCTGAATGAGAGAGGGTAAGGGGAGTGATGGCATGGGGGTGGGATGATGACATGGCATGGGTTTGGGTTCATGACATGGTATGGGGGTGGATTGATGACATGGCATGGGGGTTGGCCCATGCCATGTCATCCGCCAGTATGGCCCATGGCTGGCAGACGCCACGCCATCCGCCAGTACGTGGCGTTGGACCGCCCCTTCCTCGGCATCTGCCTGGGCTGCCCAGCCCATCCCCTTCCCCACCTCCTCTACACTCCTCTATGACACTCCCTTCTCCCTGCTCTCTATCCCTACACATGCCAGCCTGGCAGACGCCATCCGCCAGTACGTGGCGTTGGACCGCCCCTTCCTGGGCATTTGCCTGGGCCTGCAGCTGCTCTTCGACGGCAGCCAGGAGTTTGGCGATGGTGAGTGAGAGGGCATGGGGGGTAAGGTAGGTAGGTAGGTAGGTAGGTAGGTAGGTAGGTAAGGTAGGTAAGGTAGGTAGGTAAGGTAGGTAGGTAAGGTAGGTAGGTAAGGTAGGTAGGTAAGGTTGGTAGGTAAGGTAGGTAAGGTAGGTAGGAAAGGTAGGTAAGGTAGCGCATGTTGTTGTTCCTGCTATGCCCATGCCACCCCTGCCATGCCACCCCTGCCATGCCACTCCTGCCATGCCACCCCTGCCATGCCCCTTGTGCTATATCATTCTGCACCCCTCACCTCACCTCACCGCCTGCACTCACTCACCCCCCTTCTCCCCTTCCTCGCCCTCTCCCCTCCTCGCCTCCTCCCCTCCTCCTCCTCCTCCTCCTCCTCCTCCTCCTCCTCCTCCTCCTCCTCCTCCTCCTCCTCCTCCTCCTCCTCCTCCTCCTCCTCCTCCTCCTCCTCCTCCTCCTCCTCCTCCTCCTCCTCCTCCTCCTCCTCCTCCTCGCCTCCTCCCCTTTTCCCTTCTCCCACTCACCACCTCTCCGGCCCCGTTCCTCAAGGGTCCCCCTTCCCCTACATCCCTCTCTCTCCCCTTCCCCTACCCCCCTCTCTCTCCCCTTCCTCGCCTACCTGGTGCACTCCTTCCCTTCTCCCCGTGGAACGACTGACCATCATCCCCAGCACAGCACTGTGTCCCGATTCGATGCATCCAAGCGCCTTAACCCTCTCCTCTCCCCGTCTCCCCCCTTCCCCTCTCCTCCTCTCCTCCTCCTCCCTTACAGTGGAGGGATTGGGCATCATCCCAGGCACTGTGTCCCGATTCGATGCATCCAAGGGGCTCACTGTGCCGCAGATCGGGTGGAACGGGCTGCAGATCGTGCAATCCGAGCCGTCCATTCTGGATGGCGTGAATGGGCGCCACGTGTACTTTGTGCACTCGTACCGAGCCACTCAGGTGCGCCACTCGTACCGAGCCACTCAGGTGCGCTGCAGCGTAGCCTAGAAACTCCTCAGGTGCGCTGCAGCGTAGCCTAGAAACTCCTCAGGTGCGCTGCAGCGTAGCCTAGAGACTCCTCAGGTGCGCTGCAGCCAAGGTTAAAAAATACGACCGAATTTTTGAAAATTTACCGTAAAATACGGTATCGTATTTTACGGTCGTATTAAACGGTAAAATACGGTCAGACCTTGCATTTTTAGGTTCGTTCAAAAATACGGTCGTTTTTTACGGCCGAAATTTTTAAACCGAAATTTATGAGTTTCCGTGGGGCTCAGGAACATCCCCACAGAAGCTTAGACAGGTTCCGTGGCCATCTGTAATAGTCTAGGGTTGGGCTGAGGCCAATGTCGAGATCTGTGAAAGTGTATGGGGGGTTGGGTCTTGTAGATCCAGTGCGGTGACAAGTGGTAAGTGGCGACGAATTGGTTGGGACAGTGAGTTCCAACAATTTTGACGGGGAGGAAGGGGTGCCTGACTTAGGGTTCTCAGTTCGTGGCGAATTCAAATTGACCACCGAAATCGCCGATCTGTGCAGAGCTATGGGCGAAATCGCCGATCTGCGCAGATCGGCGGGCGAAATTGCCGATATGCGCAGATCGACGGGCGAAATCGCCGATATGCGCAGATCGGCGGGCGAAATCGCCGGTATGCGCAGATCGGCGGGCGAAATCGCCGCAACCGATAGGGACCGCTTATAATGGTCTGAGTTTCGGGGGGGAGCGGCTTTTTAGGCCTGATAGTTAGCAATTTCTTTGATGTTCACATTCCTAGAAGTGGATGGTAGCAAGTCTGAAGTTTGATACTTTTTTTTTGCGGAGAGAAAAGCTCTAACAAAAAAACGGCAGAATTTTAAAAAATTGACTGTAAAATACGACCGTAAAAAACGGCCCGTATAATACGACAACCGTATTTTTTAACCTTGGCTGCAGCGTAGCCTAGAAACTCCTCAGGTGCGCCCGACCGAGGGCCCCGCCAGCCAGGGACTGTCCTGTGCTGTGCTGTGCTGTGCTGTGCTGTGCTGTGCTGTGCTGTGCTGTGCTGTCTAGGAGGGGTATTTAGGGTCGCACTGCACTGCAGTGTAGTGCAGGGCAGGCTAAGGTAAGGGCTCGCTACGCTAAGGGCTTGCTACGCTAAGCATCCTCTCTCCCAACATGCGGGCAGTGTTTCAGCTCCGCCTAGCGCACGCTTGTCGTGTCACTTGTGAGAATGCCCAAAGTTGACTCCCTCCCTGCTTTCCCCACATGAAAGCTGCGCGTCACCCCAGCCTAGTGAGCCTAAGGCAGTTGGGTTCCACTCCCTCCCTCCCCTCCCCCTCACCGCCATAAACCCCGTTGCACCCCTCTCCGCTCCCTTCCCCCCAGATCCCTGAGAACAGCGATTGGGTGCTGGCGACAGCAGAGACAAGCCGTACGGGCGGGCGGTCATGGCACTCACCTCACTGTACATGTATCCCCCCCTCCGCCCCCTCTCCCATCCCCCTCTCACATGGCTTACCCCCCCCCCCCCCCAGACCCCTGACAACAGCGAGTGGGTGCTGGCGACGGCCAACTATGGCGAGCCGTACGTGGCGGCAGTGAGGAAGGGCAACGTGCAGGCCGTGCAATTCCACCCAGAGAAGTCGGGCGGTGAGTGGTGCGGGGCGTGGACGGTGGGAAGAGGGGCGTGCAGAGTGCCGGGCAACGTGCGTGCAGTGAGTGAGAGGGTGAGAAAGGGCAACGTGCAGTGAGTGAGAGGGTGAGAAAGGGCAACGTGCAGTGAGTGAGAGGGTGTGAAAGGGCAACGTGCAGTGAGTGAGAGGGTGTGAAAGGGCAACGTGCAGTGAGTGAGAGGGTGAGAAAGGGCAACGTGCAGTGAGTGAGAGGGTGTGAAAGGGCAACGTGCAAGCTGTGCATTTCGTCCCTGGGAAGTCAGGCGGTGAGATGTGGGGAGGGGTGAGGCAGTCAAGGCAGGGGTGGGGAGTAGTGGAAGTACGGTGATTGCAGTTGGCAGGGCATAGTTCTCCCTGCTGCATTCCGCACGCATTCTTGCGCCTCCTAACCCGCCCACATCTCTCATCCCAAGAACCAACCCTATGCTTACACACTACTCATACCCCTAGCCACGCCCTGTGTGCGTGCATGCGCCCTCCCTGCTGCCTATGTCCCTTCCTGACACGCCCCTCATCCCCTTCCCCTCATCCCCTTCCCCTCATCCCCTTCCCCTCATCCCCTTCCCCTCATCCCCTTCCCCTCATCCCCTTCCCCTCATCCCCTTCCCCTCATCCCCTTCCCCTCATCCCCTTCCCCTCCTCCCCTTCCCCTCATCCCCTTCCCCTCATCCCTTTCCCCTCATCCCCTTCCCCTCATCCCCTTCCCCTCATCCTGTTCCCCCATACCCCCGCCAGTGGTGGGCTTGGACATCCTGCGTCGCTTCCTCGGCCCCAACAGGAGCCAGCAGGCCAACGTGGGTACCCTCTCTCCACCCTCTCTCCACCCTCTCTCCACCCTCACTCTCCTCATTGCCCTCCCTGCTCGCTCTGCCCTCCCCGCCTTCCCTGCACTCCCTGCCCTCTCTCATTGCTTGTGCTGGTGGAATTCAATCGATCCTCGCTAAGCTGGCAGTCTGTCTCTACTTCAATCATTTTTCTCCTCCTACTTACTCCTTGGGCCTTGATGTGCCTCATTGCACTTGTATCGTCAAATTGGTTTGCACATGGGCTGAGTTGATGTGAGCACAGCATGGCCTGGCACGGGCAGCATGCTACATTCATCTGCAGCACGCCACATTCATCTGCAGCACGCCACATTCATCTGCAGCACGCCACATTCATCTGCAGCACGCCACATTCATCTGCAGCACGCTACATTCATCTGCAGCACGCCACATTCATCTGCAGCACGCCACATTCATCTGCAGCACGCCACATTCATCTGCAGCACGCCACATTCATCTGCAGCACGCCACATTCATCTGCAGCACGCCACATTCATCTGCAGCACGCTACATTCATCTGCAGCACGCTACATTCATCTGCAGCACGCCACATTCATCTGCAGCACGCCACATTCATCTGCAGCACGCCACATTCATCTGCAGCACGCCACATTCATCTGCAGCACGCCACATTCATCTGCAGCACGCCACATTCATCTGCAGCACGCCACATTCATCTGCAGCACGCCACATTCATCTGCAGCACGCCACATTCATCTGCAGCACGCCACATTCATCTGCAGCACGCCACATTCATCTGCAGCACGCCACATTCATCTGCAGCACGCCACATTCATCTGCAGCACGCCACATTCATCTGCAGCACGCCACATTCATCTGCAGCACGCCACATTCATCTGCAGCACGCCACATTCATCTGCAGCACGCCACATTCATCTGCAGCACGCCACATTCATCTGCAGCACGCCACATTCATCTGCAGCACGCCACATTCATCTGCAGCACGCCACATTCATCTGCAGCACGCCACATTCATCTGCAGCACGCCACATTCATCTGCAGCACGCCACATTCATCTGCAGCACGCCACATTCATCTGCAGCACGCCACATTCATCTGCAGCACGCCACATTCATCTGCAGCACGCCACATTCATCTGCAGCACGCCACATTCATCTGCAGCACGCCACATTCATCTGCAGCACGCCACATTCATCTGCAGCACGCCACATTCATCTGCAGCACGCCACATTCATCTGCAGCACGCCACATTCATCTGCAGCACGCCACATTCATCTGCAGCACGCCACATTCATCTGCAGCACGCCACATTCATCTGCAGCACACACCACGCCACCTCTCCCCCTCCCTCCACCTCATCTGGGGGGTTGGAGGTGGCGTGCAGCGCAGCAAAGCAGGCCACTGGAGGGCAACACAAGGCATGCCTTGTGTTGCCATCACATGTTTAATTCTAAGTTATTTCACATATTCGGTGCCGTCTTGTGTTCCATGCCACGTTCCGTTCGTTCACGTGTTGTATGACACCCCATTCCACCTCACTCTCACACCACGTGTTGTCACACCAGACCAGGAGGGGGTAGATGCATGCAGCAAGGCCCTGAGGGGCCCTCGCGCAACCCAGCTGGCGAAGCGCGTGGTTGTGCGTTGAATTCGCGCGCCAATGTCCAAGTCACTGGGGGGACCTCTTGGTCACCAAGGGCCTACAGCACCTTGCCGCATGCCATATTCCCTTGCATCACACCCTACTCCACCCCACCGCATCCCACCCCTTCCACCCCCACCAGGAGCTAGAGGAAGCATGCAGCCAGCCACTGAGGGGCCCTCGAGCCACGCAGCTAGCCAAGTGCGTGATTGTGTGTTTGGATTGGATGTGCGCGCCAAGCCAATGACCGGGGGGACCTGGTGCTGCTGGTCACCAAGGGGGACCAACACCTTGCCGCACTCCTCCTCACCGCACTCCACCTCACCCCTCCCAACCCCACCAGGAGGTGGAGGAAGCATGCAGCAAGCCCCTGAGGGGCCCTCGAGCAACACAGCTGGCGAAGCGCGTGATCGCGTGCTTGGATGTGCGCGCTAACGACCGGGGGGACCTGGTGGTTACCAAGGGCGACCAGTATGACGTGCGGGAGCAGGGCGATGAGAGGGAGGTGAGGGGGACGAATTGGGGGAAGGTGATGGATGGGGCGAGGGTGCTTATGCAGTGGGTCGTGTGTGTGCTCATGGGGACCTGGTGGTCACCAAGGACGACCAGTACGACGTGCGGGAGCAGGGCGATGAGAGGGAGGTGAAAAAATGGGCGCGAGCGAGTAGGGTGGTGTTGTGGGGATGGTGGAAGGTGGTAGCATGGCCTTGTGTGCGTGCTGATGGCAGCTGGTGATGACCAAGGGGGCGACCAGTACAGCGTACGAGTGTAGGTCGACGAGCGGGAGGTAAGAGGGAGGGGAAGTAAAGGGAGGGTGATGAGGAAAGGCGAGGGTAGTGAAGCAGCAGATGATGGCATGTCGCACTGGTCTGTCGTGGTCACCAGTAGACTAGGGGTGATGAGTGACCAAGGGCGGCCAGTAGGGGTGATGAGTGACCAAGGGCGGCCAGTAGGGGTGATGAGTGACCAAGGGCGGCCAGTAGGGGTGATGAGTGACCAAGGGCGGCCAGTAGGGGTGATGAGTGACCAAGGGCGGCCAGTAGGGGTGATGAGTGACCAAGGGCGGCCAGTAGGGGTGATGAGTGACCAAGGGCGGCCAGTAGGGGTGATGAGTGACCAAGGGCGGCCAGTAGGGGTGATGAGTGACCAAGGGCGGCCAGTAGGGGTGATGAGTGACCAAGGGCGGCCAGTAGGGGTGATGAGTGACCAAGGGCGGCCAGTAGGGGTGATGAGTGACCAAGGGCGGCCAGTAGGGGTGATGAGTGACCAAGGGCGGCCAGTAGGGGTGATGAGTGACCAAGGGCGGCCATTATGAATGAAAAACTTCTCAAGGTGGGGGCGGACAAGCCCAGCCCCCTGCAGTCCCTTACTCCCTCGCTCTTGTACCCCCCCCCCACACACCCCAACCCGTCTCCCCACCACTGCTGTCCCTGCCACCAGGTGCGCAACCTGGGCAAGCCAGTGGAGCTGGCGGCACGCTACTTCAGGGAGGGCGCGGACGAGGCTGGGGTGTGCTGCTCGCAGCCCCTCAACACACCCCTGCCTGCGTGCACCTCCCATCCTCCCACCCCCGCATGCACCCCACCCAACCCAACCAGGTGCGCAACCTGGGCAAGCCAGTGGAGCTGGCAGCACGGTATTTCAAGGAGGGCGCGGACGAGGTGGCGTTTCTCAACATCACGGGCTTCAGGGACTTCCCCCTGGGGGATCTGCCCATGCTCGAGGTGATAGGGGGACTCGCCCACCCGCCAAGTGATAGGGGGGAGCTAGTTGCTGTGTTTGTGGGGGGCAATTCACCAGTGCTCCAGATGACTGTCAGGGGGCTGATCTGCCTTGATTCACCAGTGCTGGAGGGCTGATCTGCCTTGATTCACCAGTGCTGGAGGGCTGATCTGCCTTGATTCACCAGTGCTGGAGGGCTGATCTGCCTTGATTCACCAGTGCTGGAGGGCTGATCTGCCTTGATTCACCAGTGCTGGAGGGCTGATCTGCCTTGATTCACCAGTGCTGGAGGGCTGATCTGCCTTGATTCACCAGTGCTGGAGGGCTGATCTGCCTTGATTCACCAGTGCTGGAGGGTAGGGATGGGAGGTTAATAGCTGTGTGGGTGCGACCTGCCCATACTAGAGGTGACTGTTAGGGGGGCCAATAGTAGCTGTGTGTGTGTGTGTGTGCGGGACGATTCGCCCATGCCCAAAGTCCACCTGCAAGCAATCCACCAAAAACAAGCAATAGAAAAACCTTGTTTCACATTTCCCTCGTTTCGCCATTCCATTGTCTCGCCATTTCCTGTCAAGAAATCTCACACCTGTCTTCACACCTGTCTCACCTGTCTTCACACCTGTCTTCACACCTGTCTTCACACCTGTCTTCACACCTGTCTTCACACCTGTCTTCACACCTGTCTTCACACCTGTCTTCACACCTGTCTTCACACCTGTCTTCACACCTGTCTTCACACCTGTCTTCACACCTGTCTTCACACCTGTCTTCACACCTGTCTTCACACCTGTCTTCACACCTGTCTTCACACCTGTCTTCACACCTGTCTTCACACCTGTCTTCACACCTGTCTTCACCCCTGTCTTCACACCTGTCTTCACCCCTGTCTTCACACCTGTCTTCACCCCTGTCTTCACACCTGTCTTCACACCTGTCTTCACACCTGTCTTCACACCTGTCTTCACACCTGTCTTCACACCTGTCTTCACACCTGTCTTCACCCCTGTCTTCACACCTGTCTTCACACCTGTCTTCACACCTGTCTTCACACCTGTCTTCACACCTGTCTTCACACCTGTCTTCACACCTGTCTTCACACCTGTCTTCACACCTGTCTTCACACCTGTCTTCACACCTGTCTTCACACCTGTCTTCACACCTGTCTTCACACCTGTCTTCACACCTGTCTTCACACCTGTCTTCACACCTGTCTTCACACCTGTCTTCACACCTGTCTTCACACCTGTCTTCACACCTGTCTTCACACCTGTCTTCACACCTGTCTTCACACCTGTCTTCACACCTGTCTTCACACCTGTCTTCACCCTGTCTTCACACCTGTCTTCACACCTGTCTTCACACCTGTCTTCACACCTGTCTTCACACCTGTCTTCACACCTGTCTTCACACCTGTCTTCACACCTGTCTTCACCCCTGTCTTCACACCTGTCTTCACCCCTGTCTTCACACCTGTCTTCACACCTGTCTTCACACCTGTCTTCACACCTGTCTTCACACCTGTCTTCACACCTGTCTTCACACCTGTCTTCACACCTGTCTTCACACCTGTCTTCACACCTGTCTTCACACCTGTCTTCACACCTGTCTTCACACCTGTCTTCACCCCTGTCTTCACACCTGTCTTAACCCCTGTCTTCACACCTGTCTTCACCCCTGTCTTCACACCTGTCTTCACACCTGTCTTCACACCTGTCTTCACACCTGTCTTCACACCTGTCTTCACCCCTGTCTTCACACCTGTCTTCACCCCTGTCTTCACACCTGTCTTCACACCTGTCTTCACACCTGTCTTCACACCTGTCTTCACACCTGTCTTCACACCTGTCTTCACACCTGTCTTCACACCTGTCTTCACACCTGTCTTCACACCTGTCTTCACACCTGTCTTCACACCTGTCTTCACACCTGTCTTCACACCTGTCTTCACACCTGTCTTCACACCTGTCTTCACACCTGTCTTCACCCCTGTCTTCACACCTGTCTTCACACCTGTCTTCACACCTGTCTTCACACCTGTCTTCACACCTGTCTTCACACCTGTCTTCACACCTGTCTTCACACCTGTCTTCACACCTGTCTTCACCCCTGTCTTCACACCTGTCTTCACCCCTGTCTTCACACCTGTCTTCACACCTGTCTTCACACCTGTCTTCATACCTGTCTTCACACCTGTCTTCACCCCTGTCTTCACACCTGTCTTCACCCCTGTCTTCACACCTGTCTTCACCCCTGTCTTCACACCTGTCTTCACACCTGTCTTCACACCTGTCTTCACCCCTGTCTTCACACCTGTCTTCACCCCTGTCTTCACACCTGTCTTCACCCCTGTCTTCACACCTGTCTTCACACCTGTCTTCACACCTGTCTTCACACCTGTCTTCACACCTGTCTTCACCCCTGTCTTCACACCTGTCTTCACCCCTGTCTTCACACCTGTCTTCACACCTGTCTTCACACCTGTCTTCACCCCTGTCTTCACACCTGTCTTCACCCCTTTCTTCACACCTGTCTTCACACCTGTCTTCACACCTGTCTTCACCCCTGTCTTCACACCTGTCTTCACACCTGTCTTCACCCCTGTCTTCACACCTGTCTTCACACCTGTCTCCACCCCTGTCTTCACAGCTGTCTTCACCCCTGTCTTCACACCTGTCTTCACCCCTGTCTTCACACCTGTCTTCACACCTGTCTTCACACCTGTCTTCACCCCTGTCTTCACACCTGTCTTCACACCTGTCTTCACCCCTGTCTTCACACCTGTCTTCACACCTGTCTTCACACCTGTCTTCACCCCTCTCTTCACACCTGTCTTCACACCTGTCTTCACACCTGTCTTCACCCCTGTCTTCACACCTGTCTTCACACCTGTCTTCACACCTGTCTTCACCCCTGTCTTCACACCTGTCTTCACACCTGTCTTCACACCTGTCTTCACACCTGTCTTCACACCTGTCTTCACACCTGTCTTCACACCTGTCTTCACACCTGTCTTCACACCTGTCTTCACACCTGTCTTCACACCTGTCTTCACACCTGTCTTCACACCTGTCTTCACCCCTGTCGTCACACCTGTCTTCACACCTGTCTTCACACCTGTCTTCACACCTGTCTTCACACCTGTCTTCACACCTGTCTTCACACCTGTCTTCACCTGTCTTCACCTGTCTTCACCTGTCTTCGCCCTCCTCCATCCTCACCTCACTCTGTGGCAACGCCTTTCCTTGCTGTCATGTCCCACCCAGCAGCTTTCTTTTTATCTTCTCTTCCCCCACTTCCATTTCTTCCATTCCTTACGTCTCCTATCCTCTCCTTCCCCTCTTCTCACTTCCCCTCTTCTCATTCCCCTCTTCTCACTTCCCCTCTTCTCACTTCCCCTCTTCTCTCTTTCCTTCGCCCCCATCGCCCATGCTCCCCACATGCTCTCTCCATTTCATGCTCTCCCCCCTTCCTTCTCCTCCCATCCTCCCTCCCCTCCCACGCCACCCCAGGTGATGAAGCGGGCGTCAGAGAGGGTGTTTGTGCCGCTCACAGTGGGAGGCGGCATCAGAGACTTCACCTCCTCCCCTTTCCCATGTTCTCCCCATCCTTCATCTCCCCCACCTCCCCCTGCAACCCTCCACAGGTGATGAAGCGCGCATCAGAGAGGGTGTTTGTGCCGCTCACGGTGGGGGGCGGCATCAGAGACTTCACAGACGGCAATGGCAGGTGGGCTGTGGGACAGGTGGGGAACTGATGCTCGTGGTGGTGCTGCTCATGGCAGGTGGGCAGTGGGATGGCACTTGGGTCGTGGGGTTGTGCCTGTGGGTGGGCGGTGGGGCCATGGCTGGCGAGGAGTGGAGCGGTGGCAGGTGGGGCGGTGTGGAGTGGTGTTCTCAGTCTGGCAGCAGCAACAAGGTGTTGATTGAGTGCTGGATACTGGTTGGGGGCGGACAAGGTCCGCGCGCCTTCACACACTCCGTGCCACCCTCTCCCCCTGCACTCCCGCCCCCTCTTCCCACCTGTCCTCGCAGGCCGTACTCAGCGTTGGAGGTGGCGGCGGAGTATTTCCGGTCAGGGGCGGACAAGGTGTCCATCGGCAGTGAGGCGGTGTTTGCAGCGGAGGAGCTGCTTGCCTCGGGGGTGAGTCACTCGCACTTGTTGCCCTCCTTGCTCCTTTCTTGCCATGCCAGCATGCCTGCGGTGCAGCCCCACATGAATGGGGGCGGGCAAGGTGTCACTCGGCAGTGAGGCGGTGCTGCCTGCAGAGGTGCTGCCTGCAGAGGTGCTGCTCTGCTCGCCACGGGGGTGAGCCACTCGTGCCGCCCTCGCTGCTCGTTACTGGCGTGACTGCTGCCCGCCTTGCTTGCTCGCCAGGAAGGTTGCGTGAGTGGTGCATCACTGCTGCTCCTTGCCTGCTTGCTGGCTGTCTCCATACCTTCCCCCCCGGCTGCACTTCCGTCTGTCCACACCCCTTCATCACTTCCTTCAAACGCAATCATGTCTTCTGCCCCGTCCTTCACTGTGCCCACTCCTGCATGCCTGCCACTCCTGCATGCCTGCCACTCCTGCATGCCTGCCGCTCCTGCATGCCTGCTGCTCCTGCATGCCTGCCACTCCTGCATGCCTGCCACTCCTGCATGCCTGCCACTCCTGCATGCCTGCCACTCCTGCATGCCTGCCGCTCCTGCATGCCTGCCTGCCACTCCTGCATGCCTGCCACTCCTGCATGCCTGCCACTCCTGCATGCCTGCCACTCCTGCATGCCTGCCACTCCTGCATGCCTGCCGCTCCTGCATGCCTGCCGCTCCTGCATGCCTGCCGCTCCTGCATGCCTGCCGCTCCTGCATGCCTGCCGCTCCTGCATGCCTGCCGCTCCTGCATGCCTGCCGCTCCTGCATGCCTGCCGCTCCTGCATGCCTGCCGCTCCTGCATGCCTGCCGCTCCTGCATGCCTGCCGCTCCTGCATGCCTGCCGCTCCTGCATGCCTGCCGCTCCTGCATGCCTGCCGCTCCTGCATGCCTGCCACTCCTGCATGCCTGCCGCTCCTGCATGCCTGCCACTCCTGCATGCCTGCCGCTCCTGCATGCTTGCCGCTTCTGCATGCCTGCCGCTCCTGCATGCCTGCCGCTCCTGCATGCCTGCCGCTCCTGCATGCCTGCCGCTCCTGCATGCCTGCTGCTCCTGCATGCCTGCCGCTCCTGCATGCCTGCCGCAGGCTCTTCCATCCACCCCCACCCAACCCTGTGTGCATTCCTCACTGCCCGTGTTGCTCTCACTGTGTGCGTTTCGGCAAGTGCAGGAGAAGACAGGCAAGACGGGGATAGAGCAGATCTCCTACGTGTATGGCAACCAGGTGAGGGTAGTGAGGCAAGCAGGTGAGGGCTGTGAGGCAAGCAGGTGAGGGCTGTGAGGCAAGCAGGTGAGGGCTGTGAGGCAAGCAGGTGAGGGCAGTGAGGCAAGCAGGTGACGCCACAATGTCTATCAATCCAGATGCATGCTCAGAAGTTATCTGCAGGGCAAAGTCAATCTGCAGGTCAAAGTCAATCTGCAGGTCAAAGTCAATCTGCAGGTCAAAGTCAATCTGCAGGTCAAAGTCAATCTGCAGGTCAAAGTCAATCTGCAGGTCAAAGTCAATCTGCAGGTCAAAGTCAATCTGCAGGTCAAAGTCAATCTGCATGGCCTGTTTCCATCACTTGTCCTTTAGCGTGGAGGATTTCTCTCCCTTTTTCTTCCCCACTGCACTCATGCTATCTTCTCCCTCTCCCCTCTCCCTCTCCCCTCACCTGGGTGCCATGTCTTCTCTTGGCCTCTCTGCCTCTCTGCCTCTCCCCCTCTCCCCCTCGCTGCCTCTCTGCCATCCCAACAGGCGGTGGTGGTGAGCATAGATCCCAAGAGGGTGTACGTGGCCTCGCCAGATGACGTGCCTTTCAAATGCGTCAAGGCATCAACGCCAGGTGCACTGCATGCCCGCTCTGCTCCCTCTGCTCCTTGTTTGCCACAAGTCTTTGGTTAGAACGGGCTTGCTGCTCTGCCATGTGGGGTACCATCTGAGCCCCACGACTCTCTTCTTCTCACAGAGTATCTCATCTCTCTTATGCTCACCTTGCCACTCAACCTTCCTCCTCCTGTGGCTTATGCCGTGTGGCCTCCTGTCTTTCCTGTCCCCTGACGCAGGCCCCAACGGGGAGGAGTACGCATGGTATCAGTGCACGGTGAGAGGGGAGGAGTGATGCTGTCACGTGTGTGTGCGTGTGTGTGTGTGTGTGTGTGTGTGTGTGTGTGTGTGTGCCCGCGTGCGCGCACATGCAAGCGGGTGCACACGTGCATGTGCGACTGTAAGCTAACACTGGTGCGATGCATGGTGTGTGTGCGTGCATGTATAGCAAGGGCGCTCACGTGATAGCCATGTGACTGTGGGACAGGCCGATTCTCCTTCTCACTTTTGAGTCGACTCAAAAGTCTTCTCACCGTGCTGTCTTCCCCTCGGACCATTGTAACCTCTGCTGCTGCAGGTGAGCGGAGGCAGGGAGGGCCGGCCCATAGGGGCGTTCGAGCTGGCCCAGGCTGTGGAGCAGCTGGGGGCGGGGGAGATTCTGCTCAACTGCATCGACTGCGATGGTCAGTGCCATGGGATGATGAGGCGTGACAGGCATACCCATACTGAGGAGGGCTAGGTAGGGTGTGTTAACAGGAATGGAGTGTTGGCCCCGCCCTCGCTTGGGCAACGCCGACGACTTGGTCGGATGCACGGGAGTAGCAGCCGACTGTTCACAGTGGGATAGCTGCTCGACAGGTTACGTCGAGCGGCAGCGGACCGCTGTGGTGTTGCTGTCGACCAGGATGCTCGACAGCTGCAACTGACTGGCCTGGGCGACGGGTGAGCCGTCCGGGAGGTCGACGAAGCAGTCCGTCGACCTACAGTTCGACGGGGAGGTCTACGGAGCATCCCGTCGAACTGCAGTTCGACCGGGAGGTCGACGGAGCAGTTCTGGTCGACGGAAGGGGTCCGTCGACCAAGGGGTAGCTTGACGGGAGGTGTGGTCGACCAGGAGCATCCGGTGGTCGACCAGAGAGACCCAGTGGTCGACGGGAGGCACCTGGGAGTCGACCAGAGCCCCAGGGGTCGACCAGGTCGACCGGGTAAACTGCTCGACGAGTTCTGCGGAGGCACGCGAATGCCGTCAAGATCGCGATGGCGCAGGCGACTTCGGGCTGGTATCCCGAAGTCGATGTGGCTCGTCAGGCGCAGACAACAGCCGACGGATGCCCAACGAGGCAAGTCGGACCAATCGTCTGCGCACACCTGCGAGCGCGCGCACTGCTGTGTTCTACGGGGCACGCCGTCGACCTGCTTTGTTGGCAGGTCGCCCTTCTGCAGTGCTGGCGCGGCTCCTCTACGCAATGCTGGCAGGCGGTCGACCGAGCTGCGCTGGCAGTCGACCAGGCTAGCTGCAGGGTTGCTAGGTGCCTGATGTAGTCATTGTTGTCATTGCTTCTTTTATTCAATTCTGTAATTCCAACTTTGCTAGTGGAAACTCTTGCCAATTTCTCCTGTGAATGTGCAAGCACTAAGGAACCAAGCAAAGCTGAGATCACCTCTAGTAGTTCGTGCCAACCCTGTAGTCTAGCTCACTGCCGTTGTAGAGTGAATCTCCGCATGGTGCGGTGAGCGTGGATCGAACACGCGACCTTCAGATAGGAGCCGACTTTTGCACCTACTAAGTCGTTCGTAGGCCGGCAGCAACGATAGTCGCCATGGTCGACCCCGTAGTTGATGCGGGTGTAGCTGACACTTTGGAGGCACGTTTGGCTGACGCGAGGAGACGCCACGCGAATGGCGAGTACGGGACGATCCCCTTAGTGATCGCCGAGTTGGGCATCCGGTCGCAGTGGGCGACGGAACACCCTTCCCGTCCTGCTTCTCCTCGACCGGTGCGCAACGAAGGTGGCGTCGACGACGAGGTCGACAGTGGTGCGCGAGTCAGCGGCAGCGAAGGCACGAGGCATAGAGGAGTGATCAAGGTCGACGGTGGTGTCGACGGAATCCAGGCGCGAGTGCAGCGGTCGACGGCGGCTGCAGGCAGCTCGCACGCCGACGTCGATGTTCGACGTCGCTCTCCTCTACGAAGTGGTGGTGGGCTCTCGGCGACGACGCATGTGACGGCGGGCGGGATTGCACCGGCGTATGGCTATTTCAAGTTTTCGCCGGATCGAATCACCGTCGCTCCGCTGCAAGGTCGACGGGACCTCATCACCTGGAGGGAGTCGATCGAACCTCAGCTGGAGGTCGCCGGGCTGAAGGGCTTCGCCGACGGCACCGTGCCAATTCCGCCCGAGGAGGATGTCGGGCTGCGCGGGGAGTTTCGTTCTGCTCACCTGCTCACCTTCATGGTCATCTCGAGGTGCTGCTCGCCGGTGGTACAGCTGGCGCTCAGGAGCTGTCGAGAGCGACTGGATGCTGGTCACCAGGCATGGCGCTTCATCATATCGACGTACCAGGTCAGGGACGACCTGTACATCGGGAAGCTGGAGGAGAAGATGACCCACATTCGGATGGGCGAGCAGGAGTCGGCGACGGATTACTGCAACCGTGCTCGACGGATCCTGGCTGAAATGCGAATGGCAGGCGCCGAATACTCGACGGCGTCCTACATCACCCACATCGTCAAGGGCTTGCCGCGCAGCTACAATCTCATGAAGAGGATGATGATGGTGCCCGGCACGCGTGAGTCCCTCGACGAAGACTCCATCACCAGCTACATTCTCCAGGATGAGGCGATGCAGGAGGCAGAGCAGCCCACGGAGTTCCTTCCGCAGGCGAGTTACGCTGCACTGACGAAGCCGAATACACAGCGGGAGCAGCGCGGGAAGCCGAGCGGAAGTGGTAGCGGAGGTGGGCGGTCGACGAAGGACGTCGACGAAACGAGGTCGACACGGGACAAGGGTCGACGAGGTGGTGGTCGACGGCGAGAGTGCTGGGTCTGCGGCGACCCCGACCATCTCTCCTTCGAGTGCCCGGACCGCAATGAGAGCGACGAGGACGACAACAAGGAAGGCCGCGGTCGATCGACCAGTCGTCGCCCCCGTCGAGCTGAGAAGCCGCGCAAGGAGAAGCAATCGTCGAAGAAAACGCCATCGACGAAGGACGTCGACAGCTCCAGCGGCAAGAGCCGAGGCGACGGGGAGGCGTCGTGCTCGATGGTCGGCGTAGTGGAGCCGACGGTCTCGCTAGCAACGGAGGCTGGCGAGGACTTCCAGGCGGTGGCAGCAGCTGTGCAGGCCAACCCGATGGCGGTGCTGCTCGACAGCGGGTGCTCCCACCACCTGATGGGGACGAAATCGGTCTTCGTTGACATGGGGCCGAGCGATGGGGTGAAGCATGTGCGTGGGTTCAACGGGGCATTGCAGCCTGTCGAGGGTCGCGGAACCGTCACTCTGCAAGGGGAGGCCGGGAAGCGAGTCCTCATCCCCGACGTACTCTACGTTCCAGGCGTACAGGCAAACCTGTTGTCTGCTGGCCAGCTGAAGGAGAGCGGCGTGCTACTGCAGGGCGATGGCGATGAGATGCTGCTCGTCGACGCGACTGGAGAGGTGCTTGGTCGAGCACGCTACACCGGACGAGTCCTCTGCACCGACCTTCGCCCCTGCCCGACGCAGTTGCAGTCGACCGAGGTGGTGGCTCTGCGGACGATCACCTCGGCGACGAAGACGACCCCCGATAGGATGCATGCGCGGCTTGCCCACGTCAACGTCGACACGATCAAGAGCTCGGCGAAGCATGATGTGGCTACTGGGCTCGACATCACGTTGTCAACCGGAGCAGACCCGCCATGTGTCTCGTGCGTCGGAGGAAAGCTGGCGCGGCACACCTTCCCCGCCAAGGGCTCGGATACAGCGGAGGCGCTGACTGTCGTGCACATTGACTTGTGCGGGCCATTTCGGGTGGCTGCCAAGGATGGCAGCTTGTACTTCCTGCTGCTGAAGGATCGCCATACTCGATTTGTAAGGGCGATGCCGGTCGCTAAGAAGAGCGACGTGCTGCGGGAGTTCGAGAAGTGGCTGGTGCTTGTGGAACGACAGACGAAGAAGTCGGTTCTGTCGCTTCGCTCCGATCGAGGGGGGGAATTCTTCGGGAAGGCGTTCACCGACTTCGTCGACGGGAAGGGCATCGTCCACGACCTGACGTGCCCCTACACTCCGCAGCAGAATGGCATGGCCGAGCGGGAGATGCGTACGGCCGTCGAGTCCGTGCGGACGATGTTGCTGCACATGGGCGTGCAGCACCATTGGTGGCACCTGGCTCTACGACAAGCTGTCTGGGTGCGCAACTGCTTGGAGCGGTCGACGACGCCGCCGGGGACGACTCCGTACCAGCTGCTGACCGGACAGAAGCCCGACCTTACGCTGGCGCGGGTGTGGGGCTGCATGGTGCAGTTCATGGTTCCCGAGCAGCAACGAGGTGGAAAGCTGGCGCCGAAGGCTCGCTGGGGACTTCACCTGGGTGTGTCGCCAGCGAGCAAGGGCTGGGAGGTGCTCGACCTGACCGACAACAAGATGGTCACGTCGGTCGGGGTGATCTTCTATGAGACGCTGTCGCTGGAGGTGTGGAAGGCGAAGTATGGGCCGGCGTCGGAGCGGACGCAGGCGCACCCGCCGACGGACACCTCGACAGCGACGGTTCCCCTGCTCGCCGAAGTCGACGAGCCTGCTGATGAAGATGCTGTGGAGGTCCTTCCACCTCCCCCTGTTCTTGCTCCTCCGTCTCCCGTCGCCGATCTGCCTGCGCCGACACCTGTGTCGGCCACCGACGATGAGGGGAGCCTGGAGGCGTCGCCTGTGGCGCCGGCCAGTGGCATCGCCGGCGGACGACAAGGCGCCAAGCTCGACGACTACGATGGAAAGCCGTCGAAGACAGGGGAGCCGGTCGAATAGGAGCCATCGGCAGGGGTACACTCGATAGGGGAGTGGCAGCCGGAGCGGTCGACAGGAGAATTGTCGAAGGTAGCAGCAGAGGAACAGCCGGTCGAAGGGTCGAAGCAGCTGGTCGACGACGTTCTAGTTGAAACGAAAGGGGAGCTATCGGCGGGTGAGGAGTCCACCGACAGCGACGTGATGGAAGTGCCGATCACGAAGCCTGAGCTGCGACGCTCAGGTCGAGCTCGACGGCCGCCGGAGCGGTTGAGCTTTCACGCCTGCTTACCGCCAGCTGCCTTCACCACGGTGTACGACGAGGTCGACGACGACCTGCTGTACGACGATGCCGAGGAGGATGAAGACCTGTCGGAGCTCGACCCTGACGTGCATGCCGACCCCGAACACCGCTGGGACATCGCCACAATGACGGTGAAGGAGGCGCTGTCGAGCTGGAAGGGCGAGGCGGTGAAGGCCGCCATGGAAGAAGAAATCCGTAGCTTCATCGCTATGGGGACTTGGGAGCTGGTCGAACGCCCACGCGGGGTGAACATTATGAAGAACCGATGGGTGCTGACGACCAAGTACCGCATCGACGACACCGTCGAGCGCGAGAAGGCGAGGCTGGTCGTAAAGGGCTTCACGCAGGTGTACGGCGCCGACTACGACGAGACGTACTCGCCGGTGAGCAGCTACGTCACGCTGAGGATCTTCCTCAGCATAGTCGCCGTCCTCGACCTCAACCTGATGCAGCTCGACATGAAGAACGCTTTCCTGCAGAGCAAGCTCGACAGAGTGCTCTACATGTACCAGCCGGACTACTTCGACGACAGGACCGGCCGGGTGTGTAAGCTGCTGAAAAGCCTCTACGGGCTGAAGCAGTCGCCGCTGCTGTGGTACAGGGCTCTTGACGGTGTGCTGCTGGGCGCTGGCTGGAAAAAGAGCCAGGTCGACGAGGCGCTCTACTTCAAGACCGGCGACGACGGTGTGACCTGCTGGGTCTTGGTCTACGTCGACGACCTGCTCGCCGCTAGCAGCAGCACCGCGATGCTGAAGGAGCTGAAGGAGCTGCTGGAGGCCGCCTTCGAGCTGCGTGAGATCTCGCCGGTGGAAAAGTACCTTGGGCTGGAGATCGTGCGCGACAGGCCGGCCAGGAAGTTGTGGCTGCACCAGCAGGGCTACGCCGACAAGCTGCGCAGGCGCTTCGTCGACGAGGAGCTAGGCGGTCGAGTCCCGAAGACGCCGGTCTCGGTCGACGCCTACGTTCATCTGACGTTCGACGACCAGGAGGCTCAGGAGCGCGAAGAGGAGGAGTATCGCCAGAAGGTCGGCTCACTGCAATTCGCGGCGACGACGACGAGGCCGGACATTGCGTTCGCGTGCAGCAAGCTGGGGAGCGGCCTCACGGTGAGGAGCGACCAGCATTGGCGTGAGGTCGACCGTTGCCTCGCCTTCCTCGCCGACACCCGCGACACCGCCCTGGAGTTCGGCGGTGGACCAGAAACGTTGGAGCTGATCGGCTACGTCGACGCCGACGACACGGGCGACAAGCAGAACCGGACGAGCACGGGAGGCTACGTGTTCGTCTACGGAGGGGCCGCCGTCTCCTGGTCGAGCTCGCGCATCAAGTGCGCGACATTATCATCGACCGAGTCAGAGTACGTGGCGGCCACGGATGCCGGCAAGGAGGGGCGTCGACTTCGCTTCCTCCTTGCGGAATTCAAGCTGCTCGACGCTGGGAAGCCGACCATCCTCCGCGTCGACAACAAGTCGGCAATCACGGTCGCTGAGAGCTTGGGGCTGACGGGCAACCTCAAGCACATGGAGCGACGCTACGCCTGGCTGCAGCACATGGTGAGGCGCGGGAAATTTGTGCTGAACTACATCCCTACCACCGAGCAGCCGGCGGATTTCCTGACGAAGGCGCTGCATTTTCCGGCTTTCAACCGGTGCTCTGTCGCCATCGGCCAAGTTCGCCTGGTGGACGTCGGCGACGGCGATGACGAGGTGCATCAGTAGGTGCCGTGCCCTTCAGCACGGCTGGTGCGGTGACGGCGTGGTGTGTATGGGGTGCACGCCGAGGACGAGCTTTTTGCGTGGAGTACTGCCGTGTGGGCTGGAGGCCCAAGCGTGAGCGCGGCAGGGGAGTGTTAACAGGAATGGAGTGTTGGCCCCGCCCTCGCTTGGGCAACGCCGACGACTTGGTCGGATGCACGGGAGTAGCAGCCGACTGTTCACAGTGGGATAGCTGCTCGACAGGTTACGTCGAGCGGCAGCGGACCGCTGTGGTGTTGCTGTCGACCAGGATGCTCGACAGCTGCAACTGACTGGCCTGGGCGACGGGTGAGCCGTCCGGGAGGTCGACGAAGCAGTCCGTCGACCTACAGTTCGACGGGGAGGTCTACGGAGCATCCCGTCGAACTGCAGTTCGACCGGGAGGTCGACGGAGCAGTTCTGGTCGACGGAAGGGGTCCGTCGACCAAGGGGTAGCTTGACGGGAGGTGTGGTCGACCAGGAGCATCCGGTGGTCGACCAGAGAGACCCAGTGGTCGACGGGAGGCACCTGGGAGTCGACCAGAGCACCAGGGGTCGACCAGGTCGACCGGGTAACCTGCTCGACGAGTTCTGCGGAGGCACGCGAATGCCGTCGAGATCGCGATGGCGCAGGCGACTTCGGGCTGGTATCCCGAAGTCGATGTGGCTCGTCAGGCGCAGACAACAGCCGACGGATGCCCAACGAGGCAAGTCGGACCAATCGTCTGCGCACACCTGCGAGCGCGCGCACTGCTGTGTTCTACGGGGCACGCCGTCGACCTGCTTTGTTGGCAGGTCGCCCTTCTGCAGTGCTGGCGCGGCTCCTCTACGCAATGCTGGCAGGCGGTCGACCGAGCTGCGCTGGCAGTCGACCAGGCTAGCTGCAGGGTTGCTAGGTGCCTGATGTAGTCATTGTTGTTATTGCTTCTTTTATTCAATTCTGTAATTCCAACTTCGCTAGTGGAAACTCTTGCCAATTTCTCCTGTGAATGTGCAAGCACTAAGGAACCAAGCAAAGCTGAGATCACCTCTAGTAGTTCGTGCCAACCCTGTAGTCTAGCTCACTGCCGTTGTAGAGTGAATCTCCGCAGGGTGTTCATGTGGCTGGCGCAGGTGGTGGAGCAGCTGCGATGATGATGGTAAGGCAGAGGGAGTTCATGCGTGTGACCCAGGCAGTGCCTTGATCTCGACCTGGTGGGGCTGCTGTCCTCAGCAGTGAGCATCCCTGTGATCGCCAGCAGCTGGATTTGAACTCATTCCCTCCATGCAATTCCTTCTCAGCCCCTCCCCCCTTCTTTTCCCCCTCCCCCCTTCTCTTCCCCCTCCCCTCCCGCAGGTCAGGTCAGGCCAAGGGATTCGACTTGGACCTGGTGGGGCTGCTGTCCTCAGCAGTGAGCATCCCTGTGATCGCCAGCAGAGCAGCAGCGGGGCGGCCATCCCAGAGCACTTGTCGCAGAGCAGGTCTTTGCTCACACCGGCGCCTTGGCTGCCCGCGTCCCTTGCTTCTCCGTGTCACATCACAGGCCAGGGCCAGGGATTCGACTTGGATCTGGTGGAGTTGGTCTCCTCTGCTGTGAGCATCCCCGTCATCGCCAGCAGCGGAGCGGGCATCCCAGAGCACTTCTCGCAGGTCTTTGCGCACACTGGCGCCTCCGCTGCGCTGGCTGCCGGCATCTTCCACCGCAACGAGGTGAGGGGATTCAAGGGAGCTTAGCTGATGCACGGTCAACCGGAGGAAGGGAGTTTATCGGACGGTTTCAACTGAAAGGGCACTGTGTAGGTGTGTCAGCGCTAGCACTGTCAAGGCGCCTCTGCTGCTGTGGCTGCTGGCATCTTTCACCGCAACGAGGTGAGGGTGGGTCGCGTGTGGTACATGTGTAGTGCTGCATTTTCCTTAGGGATGGGCTGGCCATCCTGGGAGTGCTCTGCGTGTGCTCTTGATTCTCTGTCCATGCGCCCAACCCGCTTCCAATATGTGTGTGTGTACGCGTCCTTGCGTTTGTGTGCATGCTTGCACGTGTCCGTCTGTGGGGTTGTCCGTTTGTGTGCACGTGTGCCTGTATGACTGTGTGCCCATTTGTCTGTGTCTCTGCATGTGCACGTGTGTCTCCCACAGGTGACAATAGAGTCGGTGAAGACCCATCTGGCAGAGGAGGGTGTGGAGACTCGCCTGCTATGAGCCGCACAGAGTCAAGCGGCGCAGCACAGATAGCAGTGGTGTGAGGTGGATAACAGTGCCACAGTGCAGGGGGCAGTGGCACAGGGAGGATAACATGTTGGTACAGTGTGAATGGCATGCAGCTAGAGGGGAGGCTGCTTGGTCGTGAGCTTGGGAGATGTTTGAGAAGCGGAGCAGAGAAGCTGATGGAATGCGCGTGGAATGCCCAAATGGCACTTGCTATTCTTAGTCTGTTGATAAGCTCCTACGTGCTGTTCACAACCAAACCATGCATCTACGGTACCGTAACTAGCCTTGTAAGGAACAGCGACTCCCTCATGTTCGTCCTGCTGTAGCTACAAGAAGAGCATTGCACTTCTCACTGCCTTCCCGGTCACTGCTAGGAGACTACCGCACCAAATCAACACCTAGGTGGCACCAAATCAACACCTAGGTGGCACCAAATCAACACCTAGGTGGTACCAAATCAACACCTAGGTGACACCAAATCAACACCTAGGTGGCACCAAATCAACACCTAGGTGGCACCAAATCAACACCTAGGTGGCACCAAATCAACACCAAGGTGGTACCAAATCAACACCTAGGTGGTACCAAAGCAACACCTAGGTGGCACCAAATCAACACCTAGGTGGTACCAAATCAACACCTAGGTGGCACCAAATCAACACCTAGGTGGCACCAAATCAACACCTAGGTGGCACCAAATCAACACCTAGGTGGCACCAAATCAACACCAAGGTGGTACCAAATCAACACCTAGGTGGTACCAAATCAACACCTAGGTGGTACCAAATCAACACCTAGGTGGTACCAAGTGCACTAAAGTAGCTTGGTTCCATCCCATGCCATCTAACAATGGAGCCACACCACCAGCTTCCAGCACAAGCAAGGCCAGGCATGCAGCTCACGAGGCAGCTGCTGTGAAGATTAGTAGTAGGAGTAGGCGCCATAGCTAGGAAAGCCCTAGCTAGGCAAGAAACAGTTTAGGCAAAAGAGGATGTTCACTAGCAGGAATGGGGATACAAATAGCAAACCCTAGAAGGGTTGTACTCGCTATAGAGCACCCCAATACAGGCTAGAGCATAACATTCTGACACACCCCCATAGCCAAAGTGGGGTGTAATCAGCAGAGCAAGCAAAGCAGAACAAGCTCAGGGTGGATCACAGTGTCACCACACATTCTGAGCACAAGTACAAGAAGCAATAGTTTAAAGTTCACAATTATGAACAAAGCTAGTGGTAGTCACAACGGGCAAGTGAGGAGGAGGAGGGACAGTGAGAGGAGAGGAGATAGGAGGCGACGGCTGAAGCTGCAGACACACGGGCAACAGGAGTCACACTGGCACAGCGGCTACCGGAACAACGCTCCGGACTACTGGAGTAACTGGCTCCGCGGCTAAAAGTAGCGGCAGACGAGCAATGGACCCACAGGCGACTGGCACAGCTGGCTGCGACTGAGCTACCGGAGCCTCTCCCCGGACTACAGGTGCTGCTGGCGACACGACGGCAACCTATGTTCAACTTCCCCAAACAGTCCCACCCCTCTGACACACACCCCCTGCTTCACCCCTAGCTCCACTCCCCCTTCACCCCCCTTAGTACCACTCCGACGGCTCCAACAGGTCCACCCCCCCTCAGCGGCAGCTGCAGCACTGGGAGACAGAGGAGGAGGAGGAGCAGGGGATGGCACACAGAAGCTGCACCCCTATACCCCTCACCCCCAAACCCTAATTCAGGAGAACGGGCAGCAGCAGGGGTGGGGCGCCATCAGAAGCACGGGGGACAGCGGGCAGGGCAGGGGCAGCGAAGAACGGGCCGCCCATGGGCCTGGCACAGCAGCCCGAACCGCGCGCAGGCGGCCCGAGTCGCGCGCGGGCCTGGCGCAGCCCGTACGGGCCGCGTGCAGGCTGTACGGGCCGCGCGCAGGCCACGACGGGCGACGCGCGGGTCCCCGTCGCCCGTCGCAGCACCTCCCGGGAGCGACGCGCGGAGTGACGAGGCAGAAACCCGCCGCGCGCCTCGGGGCGCCGGCGGGCAGAAAACCGCCGCGCGCCTCGGGGCGCACGGCGGGCAGAAAACCGCCGCACGCTCCGAGCACGCGGCGGGATGAAAAATCCGTTGCACACCACGGGGCGTGCAACAGACAGAGTAGCAGTAGCAGCGGAAGCAGTGAGGTGGGGCCCACAGGCTAGGAGCATATAGCTCTAATACCATGTGAAGATTAGTAGTAGGCGTAGGCGCCATAGCTAGGAAAGCCCTAGCTAGGCAAGAAACAGTTTAGGCAAAAGAGGATGTTCACTAGCAGGAATGGGGATACAAATAGCAAACCCTAGAAGGGTTGTACTCACTATAGAGCACCCCAGTACAGGCTAGAGCATAACATTTTGACAGCTGCCTGTATCCTGGGTTTGTACTGCTCACGTGCAGCAAGCTGCTCTGTCTCGCCTGTCCGGCCCTCCGCGAATTGCCGCTGAGACAACCCGCTGCACATCAGCGAGGGTCAGGGGCTGAACATACGCCCCGCCCCCACCACGGCCGCGACCTCCCCTCCAGCCACCGCGACCACCAAGGTGGGCAGGCCAGTTCGCCTGCGAATGAAGACGCCGTGGGGAGTCACGCCAGCGTCGCGCCGACTCCCGCTCCTTGCGTAGTTCGGGAGGGTGAGGGAGCAAGTGACGGCGGTCCGGAGACTGAGGGCGCTGCCGCTGTCCCGCCAGGGCTGTCGGCTTAACCATAGGCGCGGACTGGTCACTTTCCCCCGCTGGTCCCCAAATGGGGCCTGGCCGCCTGCGGCGATGAACCAACGGCTGGGGTCGGCTCTGCGGGGACAACGCGGCAGGCGGTGCAGCAGGTTAGGGGTGGGGGGGGGGGGGGGGGGCAAAGGCAGCCAAATCAACAGCAGGCGCAGCGGGCGCAAACGCTGGCGACAGAATGGGGAGAGTCTGGGGAGCAGCAGACGGAGCCGGAGCGGGCGGTGCAGCAACAGGAGCTGCTTGAGCCCCCACTGCCATAGGATTAGAATTCGGGAGCACAGACACAGCAGTGGCTGATGTCAAAGTTTTTAGGGCTGGGGGGACTGGCGGCTTCAACGCAGCAGTCACCGAGACAGCAGGCGCAGCTGGAACAGCAGCAGATGCAGCCGGAGCAATTGCTGGATGTGCTGGAGCATCAGGAGCAGGTACAACCACCGGTAGTGGCTCCGCTTCAGAGGGGACCTGCAGTAGATTGAGGGACCGCGACGGACGGTGTCTCAGGTCTTGGGCTAGGTGGGCAAGGGGGGTTTCGTCGCCGTGGTCGTCGTTGCAGGCGCAGGTGCGGGCGTTGACATTTCGCGCGCCACTGACGCAACGGCAAGACTCGTTGGTGATGACTCAGGAGCACCAGCTATCACCATCTCACGGAGGAAGGGGACGCGGTCGCGGAACGCACACATCAGGAGGACAGGGCGGTGGCCTGGAGAATGGGTACCAGGCAGCAGGGAGTCAAGCTTTAAACTTACTAAACGGGCTAAGTAGTAATAATGAGGACCTACTAATTATAGGCCTGAGGCAGAGACTACTACTACCGGCGACGAGAGTGTCGAGGATGTAGACAGAAGAGAGCTCGCTGGGAGAAATCCTAGACGGGACCAGCAGGAAAGAGCTGCGAGGCAACAGGAAGGATGTGAACTGCACGATGGAAATTGTGCGGCCGGAATTCCAACCAATTCTCAACCTCCAACATCGGACCGCTTCCGCCGAAATGAAAGTGCCAGACGCCAATCAGGCGCGTTGGCGAACTCCCAAAACATGCGCTACTATTCGCCAGAAGAGCTGGCAACGCATACAGACAGACTTGCGGCGATCGCAAATTGGGATATCTGTGAGAGACGACGACTTATGCTGGCTTTGCCAGCTTGCCTTACCTTCATTATGCTACTACTAGCTTAGGTTTTATTTATCATGCATAGATATGCTTGATTTCCTATATTTTATTATAGTATAGCACCGAACCAGGTTACATGTACCGAATTCAAGCCTTTCGGCTACCACCGAATTGCTTTCTACCGACTTCGGGAAGGTTTTGTTCTGTACTCTTCGCGACCCTCAAAACATTCGCGTAACGCTTGGGTTACCTGCCTTGTGTCGAGCCTATATTAGCCTCTTGTTGTACCCAGCGGATCAATCATTGCAAACCCATTTTTCTGAGCTCGATCCTCGATCCTCACTCTTGGTAATTAGAGCTGTTTGCACGCGAAGATTTTCGACCACTAAAACACCAGTCTTAAAAAATCGCGGGGGCAACGATCGTTTAACACCGATTTCGGGTACATAAAACCGGTTCCGTGCTTTTCACTACACCTCGTTTTCGGTTTTTGGACACGCGATGTCTGGCATGGAGTGTCAAGGCAACAATTTTGTGCAAGAAATCGCCACCATTCGCACTAACTTGGACCAGACGCGGGCGGTGCTTCATCGAATCGAAGCACTCCCCGCGAACCAGTCCGCAGCCGCCACAGCAGCAGTGAATGCAGCAGTGAACGCATCAGCGACAACAACAGCAGCGGCGACACCGAAAATTCACGGACCGATGGCACCACCTTTGCCAAACCTCGAAGCAGCTCGCCCGAGGCTCCCCGAAGCGTTCGATTCGAGCACGAAGGGATCGGACGTTTGTGTCAGAATACTATATAGCTTATCCATTTGTGTAGGCTATAGTGGGGTATCCCATAGGGGGTACAACCCAATTAGGGTTTCCTATTTGTATCACTTCCATTCCTTAGTCATCCATTCTCGTTCTCATTCTATCACATGGAACCAGAGCAGGTCCCCTCCTAGGGACTGCTTCTTGGGCCCACTGAAGCGCGCCTCGAGTCGCGCCTGCCTTTTTTTTTTAGCGGCCCGTCGTGTCGCACCTAGCGGCCCGTCGCGCCGCCCTCACGGTTGCGTCGAGCTGCCCTAGCCTGCGGCGCGCCGCCCTTACCTGCGGGTTCGCCCGCCCGGCCCGTCGCCGCCCTT